GACTCTCCTTGGGCACACTCTACATCATCGATCATTTTCTTCTTTGGCCCCATAATCTCCTTGATCAGAAAATTTGGGACACTACCGAGTTACATGACATTACAGTACAAGTTCTCAAATGTCCTGAGTCTTAATTGACCTTAGAAGGTTAGGGTCAAAAGGTTGGCTTTCCTTGCAGCCCTTCTTTTTCTCTAATTTTGGTCTGCAAACTTAGGTTGTTAACCATTCAGAAGACAAGCTTATTGTTATTATCAAACAGCTTAGGCTGTTAAGCTTAACCTCACTATCTGTCTGCATATCAAACATCTTAGGTATACTATGGACCAGGTATTTTTCATCAAGTACTGATATGTTGAACTTTATGTCCCTACAGAACATGATAAAAAACATTTAAAAATCAGAATATATTTTAAAAATAGGCATAATGAATTATATACTTCTCATGTTTGCACATAAGTCCAAAAATTTCACTTTATATAACCTTGAAGCAGGACAATCCCACAATATTCCTTTTCCTGTCTCTTGCTTTCCTTCACCACACCCTTCTTCTTGAACATCCAAGTACCCAAGAGAAATCATAGCAACAACTGGCATATCATGACAAGAAGCCCATACTCAGAAGACCAGAATAACAGGCACTCCAAGCATGAAACTACTATTGCAAATTACGATCTGCAGTGCAGTAGCTTAGTTCACAGGTGTCAGTATATATAGTTAGTCAGGGTGAGAATCTTTCCAATTAACTGCTAGATTAAAAAAATCTTCTGAAGATTTTCAGGATCATTGCCTTGCATATCTTCTACATAAAACTTTTTTCCTAGCTCTTCTCCTTTCCTTCTCTTGATTAGTTAGTCCTTGAGATCCTGCTTTCCTTTTACTTGTATTATATCTTTCTATTTCTATTTCTTCTTTTGAGTTCTTATACTAGGGAGAGTATACGATATTTACACATGTGTGTTTGTCTTATTTCACTTATGAGTATATGTTCAAGTGGCATCCACTTCAATATAAAGGCTTCAAGTTTATCATTCTTAATATCTGAATAATACTTCATTGTGTAAAAATACCACATCTTTTTCAACCATTCCTCAGGTGATGGGCATCTTGGTTGTTTC